TACATTCATATCAACCAATAATCGCACGTATCGCGAAGGAGCGAAGGCACGCGGCATAACTTTAAAGGTGTACAACGCGGTGTTCGGAATATAGTCGGCATCTCTGATCGCGAACCGAAGTAGTCCTTTGCCTTGTCGGCGCTCGGATTGCCGCACATCTGGTAACTCTTCGTCGCGGTCGTCGGTTTCGCGGCTTTCTGTGATCTATCGATCAACAGGACTCGGGAAGTTTCGGGAAATGCGACGAGGGCGAACGATCATCGGGAATCGGCGAGGCGATTCAGTACAAATCGATCCGTGCCACGAAAAAGATCGGCTCCTTCACGGAATACGTACGTGTGTCATAATGAGAGCCTTCGTGATATAAGTCTTAATTAATACGTATTCGTCACGAATAAGTGACTCAGGGTATCAACCCCCAGGCGATGTTACGATCTGACCCGAGGTAATCATCTCGAGGCGTTGTCAGATATAAAAGAACGACAAATCTACGCGAGTGTATTTATGCATAAAAATATATGTAATGCGGAACACGTGAACATTAATGTGAATGTGTCTTATAAACTATAAACATATATACAAGTGTATGTACTTTAATTAACATTGTGATCGTCCAACATTAAATACATTACACAATATAACAAGCATCCTATTAAAAAGATGTTAATATGCTGAAAAACTGTAAATAAATTTATTGCGAAAAATATTACCTCGACCGGGAGTCGAACCCGGATCTCTTGTATTCCATACGAACATCCTAAGCCTTTAGACTCTAATACATTTTTAGAACAGACAAGTTAGTTGTCGTTTACATATCTATAATAGATGGATAAACCTAACGTATTCAAAACATTTTCCTCTAGATCGGGGATAAGGGGGAACTCGTGGGAGTGCCATAAGTCTGTTTGTGTAGATACATTGTTAAACTTGAAGTACATAAATAGTAATACGCATTTTATGACATATATGAACTCTTTCTTTGGTAATTTTGTAGAGTTTTTTATATATTCCCATCTCCTCTCAATGCCAAGGATGTATTGAATGACATACTTAGTAAATTTAATAATTATCATAAGCGTCTAAAATTCACCGTGTAGTTAAAGGAGAACTATTGTCTCAACTTTCTAGACATTTCTTTGATCATCAGGAACAACAAAATTATCATAGATTGGTTCTACAAAAAATTTTTTTCGGGACGATATTCATCATTTCTTTCCTGTCAACAAATAGGAAATATATATAATTTGATACATCGCTCCATATTATTATTTCATTCTTCGTTTTGTAGTAAAAATATAGAATTTTGGGTAATTATTTAGAATAGGGGAGGCAGCACCTGACCTTGACCTTGACATATGTTATCGAGGTCGTGACCCTGAGTACTTCCGACAGGTTTTAACCGTCGCTCGTCCTTCGTTAAAAAGTTATGAACAAAAATGTTTCAAAATTAATAATTTTGAAAATAACATTTATTTGAAATTTGTAATAAACTTAATTACTATTTTCTTCAGTAATTTCATTAATTGGATAGAAACATGATTGTACATACATATAATAACACTCTTACTGTGGCTAGGTTTGAACGTATACTATGATTAATATTACTCCAAAATCAAAATAAACACAACCCTCGCTTCGCGTGGAAAGTCGCGTGAACCTCTACCGACGGG